TCGAAGATTGCGTCATGACGTACGCAAAGACGTACGAAGCCGTCGCCAAGTAAGGGCAAAGACCTAGCAACAGAGAGAGCAGGGTAGAAGGGGCTAGGCTGGACCATTTTTTTTTTAACTGGCATGGAGGGAGGAGGATAAGGAAAGGATAATGGAAAAATAGAGAGAGGATGAAGTTGGCTCTATTGTTGGATGCAGAGGAGAAGGGGTAGAGTTTGAGGTTTAGGGAGGCTTGACACTACCCCTGACCTGGAACTAGTGCTCCCACAAGGGCGGGCCCGGTGGTTCGGTCCGGCCTGGCCTACCGGACCAGCCAGTGCTCTGTCGGCCACAGCTCAGCTAGGCTCCTGGCGCCGCCCTCTCGCAGCCTGCCCGGGGCTGCGGCGCTTCTTTGGGTGGGGGAAGGCAGGATTGACGCAGAGTGAGTGTAGGGGATGGAGACGGTGACTCCTGGCGCGGGAGACTGGGGGGAAAGGGGTCGCTTCTCCTGGGGCAAGGAGAGGGTGGGGGTGGGGTGCGGCGTTGCTGGGAGACGCGCTTGTGTGACCCCAGCCTCGCGAGTATGCCTCGGGAACCTGCCTCACGGAAGTGACCAGGAAAGGGAGGCCTGGTTTGGGGAGAGGCCGTTTGGAGGCCCGTTTGAGACTTTCGTGAGCCTTTCTTTAGTCTTGAGTGTAAATGGGAGATGGTCGGGGCCATTCTGAGGGCGAGAGGCATCTGGCAGAGGAAGGTCACCCAAACGAGGCATCGTACAGGAACCGAGACGTTCTAGGACAGTGAGAGCCAACTTCCTAATTCCATCGATCAACAAACTATAATAACACGGAGGCCCTGACCCGTAACGTTTTATTCGAGTGCAGGAGAGTGTTAACAAATAAATAAAGAAGATACCAGCAAGTGAGAAATGCCCCAAAGACCGGATGAAGTGATAGAAGATGGGGGGAGGGCCACTCTAAATCCGGTAAGGTTGTTCGGTGGAGCCCGCGGTTTTACAGCGATCCAACAAAGGAGGGAAGATAGGGCGTGGGCTTTCTAGATAGAGAAAGAAGCTAATGAGAAGGATTTTAAGGTAGGAAATAGCCAGAAGGCCACGTGGCTGAACAGAAAGAGCAAGGGCAGACTGCTTCGTAAAGAATTTGGGGAAGTAGCCAGGCCTGATCTGGCAGACTGCCTTTTAGCCCAAGGCATGGGTTTGCCTATTGTATTACCAAGGGTTTTAAAAAGGGGAGTGACCTAACCTGATTTACATTTTTTAAAAATCACTCAGACTGCTGGGTAACCATGGGTGGAAAGTAGTCTTGTTAGACTTGTTAGGAAACTGTTGCTGTAGCAGGTGAGGCAGTCACGTGGAAATGGGGAGACTTAGATTTCAGAATATATTTTAGAAATGGTTCTTGTAGGACTTGTGGGGAAATTGCATGTGAAGTGTGCGAGAGAGGGAGGAACCAAGGATGACTCTCGGTTTGGAAAAGAATAGCCTAAGTATTCTTTTGAACAAATTAAGTTTGACAAGTCTATTAATTCCAGTTAAGATGTCTAGAAGTTAAATATACAAGTCAGGGGGAAAGTCATAGTCTTCAACAGTAAATCATTTTTTTTTAGTTCCCCTCAAATCACCTAATATGAGGGTGTGGATAAAAAAGTAAGTCCCCTAAGCCCCTTGGGCTCTTAATATTTGGAGATTACCCAGAGAAGGAGCAGCCCAAGCAAAGGAGACTCTTAACACAGTCAAAATGTTAAAGATAAAAGGAAGAGGCCCTTTAATATCCTGGAATAATGGGACCCACACTCAAAAATGAGTGAGACTTTTCCACTCACTTGCCAGCTCTACTCCTTGAAGGCCTGGCCCAAATCTCTTCCTTCCTATCCCAGTGGATGCGTGCACGGTAATTTGTGTCCATTATAGAAAATTTGACTTTTTTTTAATATATAAATTATCTATCTCCTCCGTGGACCATTTCTTCTTTGTGTCTTCATGGCTCCTAGTACAAAACCTTTCCCATATGGTCGTTGTGGCTGGGCAGGAACACCGTGTTCATAAGATATCACCTATGGAATTCAATAACTTCTGAAAAAGAGACTTTATTTCCTACCATTGCTGCTGGTGCTACCACCATCGTGGTCAGTGTCATAATATAGTGGAAAGGGTATCAGAAGAAGAATCAGAAGGCCTGGGTTATAATCTTGGATCTGCTTCTGACCAGCAGAATGACCTTGGATAAGGCCCTTCTCTTTGAGTTAAAGGGTTGGCCTAGATTCGAAGTTGCAAACTGACAAGACAGATAGTGCCTGCAAACATATTGTTCAGCCCACACAATGATTTAAATTCTTTTTTAAAGTTACTTGCCAGCATTTAAAAATTGGACATCCAAATCCAGATTTTCAGCTTCCTTACACTGGCCATAGGTTCCTAGAGGTTCCAACACAGGAGTCAGCTATAGCATAAAAGCTGCTTCACCCTTTGTATGTGGCTACTGCTCAAAGTTTGCTAAAGGCTTCTCCCTTCCACTACCTAGCTGGTCCCCGTCGAAGTTTGATTTGCCCTTCTTGGCCTAGGCAGGGGTCCTCAAACTTTTTAAACAGGGGGCCAGTTCACTGTCCCTCAGACCATTGGAGGGCTGGACTGCGGGCCCTGGGGTGAGTCCGCTGCTAAGCAGGACAGGCAGCAGCAGCAAAAACACCTGGCGGGCCTGATAAATGTCCTCGGTGGGCCGCATGTGGCCTGTAGGCCATAGTTTGAGGACACCTGGTAGAGCTTTGTTGTCTATACATAGCCACTAGCCACATGTGACTATTTAAATAAAATATATAGTTCTTCAGGCACACTAACCATACTTCTTACATCCAATAGCTACATGTGGCCACTATTCACCCTATTGGACAGGGTAGACATTTCCATTACAGAAAGTTCTGTATGGCACTGGACTGGAGGAACTTTAGGGTAGTCTAGATGCTAGTCATTCCCCACTCATTAAAGTCAAGGAACTTAGTAAGGACCTCTCGTGCATCTGTAGATGAGAAAAGTTATTGGTTCCGATGTTATTTGATAAGTAGAGGATACTTAGAAACTGTTCTGAAGGCATGAACCCCTGCGCAGAATGCAGTTATTTATCACATAGTTACATTGAAGGTCTGATGCTAGAAAGCTCGAGTTGTATCTAATGTAGTCAAAACTCTTTGGTCAGTTTCCTGATCCAGGTCCTTAGAAAATATCACAAAACAGGAATTTAAATTAGTATTTTGTGTTCTCAGACTTCTGTACTTCATGTGAAGTGAAAATCCTGGCTGGGTAGTTCTGAATGAATGACGTTGATCTTTAGCTCTGGCCTTCCATTTCCAGCCCCTCCAGTGCATCTCAAACACCACCTCCTACTTCTGGTAACTGGTTTTCACTACCCATAGCTGACCCTTGTCTTTGTCTCTTAGAGTATGCTTAGAATAAGGAAACATACCTCCATTTTTATTTAATTGAAGGGCTCATAACCTGATCTCTATTTATGATTTCTATCCCTAAAGGGAAAAATAGCTATTTATCTATTGGTTGTTAAATCTTCATTGTAGTCACCTGATTGGAGTTCCCCTCTACAAGTATTGTCTTGTGTGTGCTTCAGAGCTTGTATCATATATTTAGAACAAATATATGTATATATGTGTGTGTGTGTGTGTGTGTAGAACGGGTGTGCTTTATATTGTTTGGGATAGTTATTAAGTCTTTAAGACATTAATAATTTGGTTTTTCCTCGTGTTCTGAAAAATTCCTATATTTTAGGGCCCTTAGGTAAATTAAAAATGTGATTTACTGTCTCTTTCCTGTCCCCCATCACTAACACACCATATTCTTGTCATTTTCTATGTTAAAAAAAAAAAGTGCTGTTTCAGAGAATAGCTATGGTATGATTAAGTTCACCACAGAAGCTTATCCTGAGATTTGCAAAATAGTATGTAGCATTACTGTACACTTCCCTTTTTGGATTCTAGTAACCAAAAACTGAATCCAGGAAATAAGTTTGTGGTGTGTGTGCGTGTTGATTGATGGAGGAGAGGACTGGGGACTAGAGATGTGTGGAGCACAGTTTTAAGTTTCACTTGAAAATTATGTAATTGAAGTAAGGATAATACTATATAAACATGAGCATATGCCAAAAAAGTAGGGAATATAACAGATCTAGGAGAAAAGTACACTGAAGGATAAACAAGGAGTAAGAGATAAAGGAAGAAAAATAGGAAGGGAAGCCTGGTCATGTCTTTTGTGTTGGCACATGCATTATATTTCCAGTAAGAAGTATGTGCTGTGGTCTAAAGATAAGCAGTGCCTCCAACAGGGTTATTTATTCATACCAAAGAACAATAGCCCTTTACTATACAAGGATTATTAATGATCAGAGGGAAACAGCTTTAGGAAAATCCATTACTACCACAAAGCAATAAATTCACCAGCAGGCCACACATTTCTTTTCTCTCCTCTTCAGACAAAGCTTAGCACAGATAAAACAGGCCTCATTGTCCCTCCACTGTTTCCTCCTATTCAGGTAACATTTACCTTTGTTAACTGGCAGTGCTAAGTGATTTACATGGATTATTGTATGAATAATCCTTATAACTTTGAAAAAGGTTCTGTTGTTACTCCATTTTGTATTTTAAGAAAGGGAGGCTCAAGAAGGTTAATAATTTGCCCAGTGGGGTGAAGTCAGAATTCAGATTAGGTTTGTCCACCCAGAGCCCATACATTGATTTCACTCATTATTTTAAGTCTGTTCTGGCTGAGAGCCCATAGCTCAGTGGTTTAGGGCACCAGCCACATGCTCCGGAGCTGGTGGGTTCAAACTCAGCCTAGGCCTGCTAAACAAAAAAATTAAAAATAGCCAAGCTTTTTGGCGGGCACCTAGTCCACTACTAGGGAGGCTGAGGCAAGAGAATAACTTGAGCCCAAGAGTTTGAGGTGGCTGTGAGCTATGACCCTCACAGCACTCTACTATGGGTGACAAAATGAGCCTCTATTTAAATTTAAAAATGATAATAATGAATCTGTTTTTACAAGTGTAGGAAAACTTTTTTTTGAGACAAAGTCTCACTATGTTGCCCTTGGTAGAGTGCTGTAGCATCACAACTCACAGCAACCTCCTGGGCTTAAGCAATTCTCTTACCTCAGCCAAGGAGCTGGGACTGTAGGCGCCCATCAAAACACCCGGCTATTTTTTGTTGTTGCAGTTGTCATTGATTTTAGCTGGCCTGAGCTGGGTTCAAACCTGCCAGCCTTGGTATACGCGGTTGGTGCCCTACCCACTGAGCTACGGGCGCCGCCAACTGTAGGAAAACTTTATATGTCTAAAACCAAGACAGACATTTGCTGTGCTGCTATCTAAGCAAAGAAAGTCTGGTTTTTGGAATTATCAAGAGCATTTTAATTCTCTAGAGGTTTTCTAAATGATAGAAGTTTTAAATTACAATTTTCTGGATTGGTTTAACTTTTTATCATTGGGTATAAGGGACCTTATTTCCTAAAAGGATTATTTTTCGAGAAAAAATTACCAGAATCCCATTTTTCTATGTTTGGTTCTAAGCTCCACAGATACCTTGGAAAGAATTTCAGTCCAGTAGACAAACCGTAACTTTAAAAGAACTTAAGAGTGAGGATTACATCACAGCTGTGTATCTTAAGCTATGCTATGTGGAACTAATAAGGCCTTCCCTCCAAATGATACTGAATCTTCAGTCCTTTATCTTGACCACAATGAAAACATTGTGAGGGTTAATTAGTATTCTTAAGTGCTCTGGGATCTTTAGTTGGGAAACTTGGTCCAAGCACCACCATGTATGTATATCATGAGGATAGTAGACATTACCCGTGATCATTCTGTGGTATGTCAATTTATTCTTCTAATAAATATTTGTCATGATCCACCCATGTACCAGCCCAGGAAGGTAATGAATGACCAACCCCCCCACCACCATTCACCTTTC